GCGGAGCCAACATCATGCGTCGAGGAATTAAAGGTAAACGTAAGTTTGGGTTATTTTCTGTTAATTCCGCTCGAATTTCAAGCGGATTTTCTTGCAGGACCGGCCAGAAATCAGCAGAATGCAACCACAGAGCCAAGTCATCCTCGACGCCAACCAGGTACGCAATCTACATTTAACTCATATTTTCGCAGTTTTCGAATTCCGAGTACAAACACTCGCGGAGCCAATCTCGGGCACGGAAATCTCAGTTTGTGGGCAACATTTGTTGACGGGGTGCATCTCACTGTGCGGAGTGCAGACGTGTAGGGAGGCTTCAGGCACAGCATGCGCGACTCTGGTTGAAGAGGCGGACTCAGACAAGACTGGAGAGGTCCCAGGGAATGATGGTAGGGTCCCGGTATGATGAATAGCCGTCTTCAAGGGCAGGTCCCAAGGCTGGTTATTTTTTTTGGACCCTGCAAGGGAGGAAACTGAGGGTGTAGTTATATTTGAGTGTAGTAGTTATGTAATTAAAAGAGGTGGACTGTTTTCAAGCTAAATATTAAAGTGAAAGACCAGCACAATTCTGAGGATAATCATTGTACACTACAGCATCGATGTGTTCTCCGATGCCATCAAACTTGGTCACTGATGCTAGACATTGCTACTTCTTCGGGAAGAGCTTCTCTAGTACAGTGTTGCCTGATCCAACGCAATGGAAGGGGCAGCGACTTCACTTTTGACCTAGCACTTTTTGTCAGTTTATTGTCCCCCGGAATCAGTCGCACGTCGGGAGTTGTGCAAGACCCACAAGCATCCATTCCGAGTTCTGCACAATTTCGTTCGATGAAAGCCTTAAGATCTGTGATATGTTGGGATATCGACTTGGAAAGGAGGTAATAAAGTGTAAGATCCGGAGGAAACTCTACCTCTTGAAGACTCTGCAAGCATCAAGGCCAAACAGGGTCATTGCAATGCAAAAGTGCGAATTGATGAAGTGCAGTGATGTTTTCCTTAGTGAGCAGGACAATGCAAGCTGTGTGAAGCGACCCTGGTTCATGGAGGTATTCCAAAGATCTCTGGCATATCTGAGGATCCAATTTCCCGGACGACAGCCCAGTGACAAAAGCACCTATGATCTCTGATAGGCCCCAGTTAATGGCGGGGATGGAGACAGAGCTGGAGTTCTTAGTGAATGAGTCAAAGAGCCGCTGGTCAACAAAATGAGCAAAGGCCACATTCATGGTGGATGAATGCTCAAATAGAAAAATGACGAGTTCAGCTGCCTCTGAAGCAAAAGGGAAGGTAATACTCCATGGGGATGTTAACCATGCATTATCCTGAAAAGCAATGGTTGCAAATTTAGCAGTTAACTCAGCAGGAAATCTATCTTCAGAAGGGTGAGGGGATATGCAGTTGAGAATCCAAAAGAAAGTGATCAAGGCAGTATGCTGATCTTCAATGAACATTGAATCGCTGCCAATGCTGTACTCATCTGATGAAACCAATGCATGCAGTAGCCTTAGGAGAGCAGAGCAATTGTTGTCAAGGGGAATGGAGGAATTGTACTCAGGTTGATGGATTCCATATTCTTCAACACCCATGTAAGCCATAATTCCCTATAGGACAGCACTGAAAAATGTTCCCAAAGAGGGATCTAGTGCATTCATCCTGTGTATCGAAGGGGAACCTGCCATGCTCAAGAGAAAACAAACTCAGGGATCATCAGGTTCAGGGAGCTGAGATGTGGGATCATGATAGGATACACTATCCTGGACCCCAAAATCATGACAGCTGATGAGCAAGATATCACCAATGTACATGAATAGGGATTCAGAGATAGCTGTGGTAAGAGTCTCCGGATGGTCACCTGTGCTTATCATTGGCATTGATAACCCTTCATTTGGATGGAGATGGGGACGATCCTTGTAATTGACATGCCAGTATTTTGCCGGAAGTGCATGGAACAGAAGTTCATACACTTCCTGGTCAAAGGGCCACCGGATCTGGTCAAGAAGACAACCCCACACGATGGGTTGCAGACATAACCTCTGACTGTCTGGCATGGTTTGTAGATTAGCTACAATGAGGTCTTGGACTTTTTGGACATCCAGAAAGCAAACAACAGCCAAAAGTTCTGCACAAAGATCTGGCATGAACTGGTCCTCCCCTATTTCAACAAAGATACTTTCATACTGAAAGCGAAGCTGTGCACGGACACAGCGGTCCAGTTTGCTTGTGTCAACAACAGCATTGTTTCATTGGGCATCATTCAGAAGTTCTTCGAGTGTATATGCACAGACATGCGGAAGTTCTTCTGCATAATGTTGTACAGTGGCCACAGATCGGATCGGTAAAGCACTGGTTGACTCCATAACAATCCTTTGAACACTAGGGTTTGATGACACAGAGAATAGCCAGGACAAGGCACGTGCATTTGTTTCATTGGCACTCAGCTTAACAGCCTCATGCTCTGCTTCTCGAAGTGTATGAGTCAGAGCATTTTGGGGAACTGGTGAGGCCCCATACAAGTATCTGGATATCGGAGTGGTGACTGAAGTGAAGAAGCCATTATGGGCAATGTAGGAATGCAAAAGGAAAATGTACTGTGACAACAGCATCTTGTATGGGCATGAGGGGTATATGATGGGCAGGAAGTTGGTGATGAAGTATGCAGCAAAGGCTATGAATGTGATAGCCCCAACAACTGATGCAATTGACACTTGCAGCGGGACTAGAAAAACAACTAGACCCACTAAAAATGCACAAAGTGACAGACTCATCAGGACAGGTAATAGTCCAATAATAAAACCCATGCCCCACTGCTCTAGTCCCATGTATCGAAATTGATGTACATGGCATCTATCTCGAGGTGTGCCTGATGGTACTACCATGTACTGGTGGATCCATTGTTTCGTCAGGACAGCGAAGAGCGCGGTAGCCAGACTGAATGAGAGACTGGTGAACCATAATCCATTGACCAACGAATCAGAAATTGTAGGGCGAAATTCTGAGAATGGAGTGAGGCTTGAACGAGGGACGTTGTTCACGGAGGAACCATTAGCTGCTGCGCGCTGAACATCGATGAGCTCGAACAGCAGCGACGCCGTGACCTGACCATAGTCGACTTGTAGGCTCTGTGACGTCTGTGCGACAAACGTAGTGACCACGGCAGAGAAAAGACCGGCCTATCCGTCTATTAATGAGGGGAAATTAGATTTACTGAGAATTTGTACTCACAAAAACTAGCAGAACATCCAATCCATCCCTCCATCCTTCCGCCATCTCAGCATCAAATCTAGCACATTCTTCGAGGTATGTTCTCCATACCCTCGCAATTGGACCCAGCTCCTCGTACTGCTTGTCTTCGGGGAATTTTTGCTCATAGTCGAACGTGTCATTCCCTTCATTCTCAATGAGATATATGGAAAGTACAATGATAGATCAACGTACCTCCAGCCTGGGTTACACGTTGCTGCATGCCAAATACAGTGCGAAGTAACTTGCGCCATCGCGGCAAGGAATAGGCTGGCGAAGTCTCATCCAAGGCCAGAGGCTGAGAGTCATCAGCAGCATCATCCGGTGAATCTGAGTTGCCTTGCGGTTCATTCCGTGGTCTTTTCAAGTTTTCGTCGTTTCCGTCTTGTGCTGTATGGATGGAAGGCATAGCTGTTAAGTGGTAGGAGGGAAAGAAGAGCGAGATAGGCGCCCACCGTGATGTTGAGCGTCTCCGGTGAAATCGGTCACACTACATGCCGCTGAATCGCCGAATCTAAATGCATCTATCGAGGTATCAACAATTGATCCATTCAAAGGACTACGTGCGCCAACATTGCCTTTCTTCCGTCGTCTGCCCTCCGTCACGTCCAGCATCTCCCTTTGGGCCGCCTCTCATCCCATCTCCCATCTTCAGCCGTCGAACGTCCTCCTTCGTCTCCAAGCGTGCAGCATTGATCGCAGCGTCCCACCAGACAGCTGCAGGGAGTTCGAGGGCTGGCGTCATGCAGGATGGTGCTCGGGTAGGGTGCACATCTGTACAGCGTGGGTCTGTCGCCATGGATGCACCTGCACTATATAAGCTACTTGTTAGTATACCATTGGATATCTATTGCAAAGTAGATGTACCTTTTAATCCACGACACCTTGATACCAGCACCAAGTCTTCGTCCACAACGAAAACGTGCATGAAGGCTGCATCCTTCGTCATCGTAAACTGAGCTCTTGCAGTGCGTTTCGTGAGTGCAAACGAAGGGATCGTCCTTAGCCACGCTGCACATCCACATCGAATGCGACCATCTTGCGGATACGGATGAGGAATCTGCCGCCGATGTTGGTGGGTGTGCACGCACAGTACGTAGGCTACATGTTCTTGTTAGAACAGAATCCCAATGAACAAAATTCGTGAATCGAACGCACCTTCAATTATCATCCGAACAGTACCAGCACCTTCACTGACAACCGCAAAACCGCAGTGGTCGCAAACTAAGCCGGTGCACTACTACGCTTGCTACCTGTTGGCGCGACATGCATGCTGTGAAAAAAAAAACTAGTCAGAAGATTTACCACCAGAAAATGCTACAGGACGAACCACAATCGAGCAGGAAAAAACGAGAACGGATTCTCACCGTAAACTCAGCCTCATTCTGCAGAGATGGCTGCGTCGAGATTCTCCCCTACTGGCATACGGTGCCATGTTTTGCGCCTAACCTAAAACGACGGTTGCTATACAAAACACTTCAGAACAGGAAATCTAGATAAAAAGAAATTCCGGGCTTGTCACATTGTAGAGCTTGACGGTGGGGTTGGTAGCCGCACCGATGTTGGTCTCCTGAACTGGGTATTCGGTTTGTTTCACGTCGAGTGGCGCCGAAGGATACATAAACATGGCATGGAAATTGAGGTCGTTCGAGAATCGGAAGATGCGAAGGAGGACGGCAGGTAATGCAAAACAAGCAGAGAGGGCCTTGGCGGCGAGAGAATAAATGCCGGCGACTTGATTTCATCAGCCACGGGCTCTTGTTGAACTTCACAGCCACAGCACATGACTCGGCTGTTCCTTTTATTGGGACCTGCCGCCGGTAACACCACTACTTAGTACTACCATATGCTACTCTCAACAATGTTTACTCTTCGATCACTTTCACGCTACCTAGCCTTCCTACAGTGCAATCCATTGCTTCGGGACCAATTCTGACACGACGACATTTCGATATAACACCTGCCCTTGACTTCAATTAATGGGGCATTACCTAGAGGAGATTCAGTTCTGACGGCGCTTCGCTCACCGCCAAGCTTTCTGTGATGCGAACAATCAGCCTCTTGCTCCCTCCACTCCTCGTTTCTTCCCCTGGGTTAGGGTTTGTGCACCTCCTGCACATACCACCCGCGCACACTTACACCCGTGCTCCATTGCGTTCATCCCCGCACATGTCAACCTGAGGATGTCCACTCTCTCCTCCGCATTCAGAGGAACTCGTACTTCTCAGAGCCCAATCTTCAGATTAACACGGCAACCTTCCTAGTAGTATCTGATACACAACTATGTGGCGGAAAGCTTGAATATGCGTCAATGCCGGTCCAAAGTCGAGACGGGTGTGAGGGCTAAACCAGTGCTAATTTGTATCAACCTCTATGGTCAGAGATAGACACTCACAGTTTGATAAACGTTGCTGGACAGCTTGGCATCCAATGAATCTTTTAATTTGCACCAGAGTTCCTCTTCTGTTAAGTACATATCCTTCTCGTACTTTTTCATGACGTCCATCCACTCTTTGTCGTGCGTGACTACTATCTCGAGGGAAGGGTCCTATGAGGAATATTATGTATCAACATGAATTGTTGCCTATGTGTAATTAATTACCTTGCTCAACAAGTATTCATTCATTACCATTGAAGGATTCAAGATCTAAATGTAAGACTGGTTTCAGTATGTACCGAAAATGGCCGACATAAACCTCACCTGGTTTCCCAGAGGTGGAAATTCAGGTACTTCTGCGATAAACGATCCATGGGAGTCAGCGTTCTCTGCCATCATCCTTCTCTGGTCCGAGTCCGAGTTGTTTAGTACCGTCTTGGAACCAATGAACGAGGAAAGATAAGTCGAAAATCTAGTCTTTCCGTCGCTCGGCGGGTGAGGTACCTTGTTACTATCGAAAGAGGGAAGCCTATCTTCGGGGGAGCCTTTGATGAAATGAGGAACTGCCAACCACGTTTTGCGGAACAATTTTTCTGAAAGCGATATGGTAAAACCCTGTGCGAATATGCACTGGTTCTGAAGACCTATTGGATAAGGGTAAGTGGCGTAAGGATTCGGGAATAAGCCGTCCTCCACTCCAGCATCATCGATCCACTCATTTGCAACTTTAACTGTTTCCCCATCCACATTTTCCAAAGTACACTTGAGATAAAACGTGAAAGACCAATCTGTCTTTCTGATGACTGCGTTTCCCCAAGTAGCTGTTTTGTCGCACCCGGTTACAAGATACAAAAATCCATTTCGCACATTCCGACCCAAGGTTCCGTTGGCATGGTTGTACCATGATACTCCATATTGTCGAGCGTAGTTTTGGAAGAAGGCTTCATTCATAGTCTCATACCTTGTCGAATAATTTGGAAGGTGCAAGATTGCTGTGGGATCCTCTGAGGTACTAACATCAAAGGCCACGCCAGTATCCACAATGCTATCATCAAGATAAGAAAATGAAATAACGAATATGGATATCTACTCACCCGGGAAAACTCTCAGCAGGAACATCTGAAACGTATCTGCAGGATACGTGCTGACTTTTAAGAACATTCCAGAGCTCCGGATAAGCTTGTACCTCTGGTTGGTCTGGTGTAGGGAGAGGTTGAAGGCCAGGAGGTGCATTTCCGACGACTAGACCATCAGCGTTCCCGAAGATGCTGAAGAGAAAGTCGAAGCCTCCGTCTTTGTTAATGATCCCGACATCTCCAGGCAATATGCCCCGTATCTGGAACTCGTCCGGTGCGAAAGAATCTGGCTCTGGATGCCAAAATGGATAGCCACGGCATTTGTGGATAAACTCCTTGGTGTAGATGACGTGGGCAAAAGGATCATTCATGGTTGTGGGATCAAAGTCCGATTCGACTTGCATGTGCTGTTTTCAGAGGAATATATAGGTGTAGGAATCGGAGAAACTCTTGATCGAGATTCGAAACCAATCCAGTAGCGGCAGTTGCCGAGTCCCCGATTCTTTCCTTTTGTATGAAGAAACGGCACACTGTATCCTACGTATTTGTTTAAGCTGAACTATAGAATGTAGCTTGATGGAATGTTGGAAAAGTGGTGGTGCAAAAAGCTCGCTCGGCGGCTGCGCCGCCAGCTCGCATTTTGCACAATCTCAATCTAATTTCAGTTGTGATATGTATGCGCGCCCCCATTTGGACTTCTGTCCATCTCTGCAGGTGCATTAGGTCTCGAGAAAGAAAATATTACCCACCACATACCTTCAACTTACCTTGTACCGCAGAAACATTGAACATTGAAGCTTTGACCTCGTGCCTAGGAAGCTGAATACATATTACATTGACCCTAGAGCTACTGATCAAAGTTTTCCGCGATAAATCCAGACCCTAAATGTCCCACCCTAAACGTGTATGTACTCCCTGAGAACTACACACATCTATCAGCACACATCGCCATCTGTAGCAAGAGCCCGCTACTGTTTCTGACCGGCAGACATAAAGACGGTATTCTCTCATTATATCCAACGTACATAATAAGTATCACAACTGGGAGAACCTTGTCAAAGATAAAGAGATATATGGACAGTACAAGACAGCGCAGAGCGATAGCACTGAAGTAGATTTTCAATAACCTGCCAAGTAGGGGCGGTAGAACAGATGGTAGTCGACGCAAGGCACCCGCAGAGCATAGGAAACAATAGCAAAGACATGAATCACTTGCGACGCGCAAGCCATGCAGTAAGAAGATGGTGATGGATGACAAGAAAAACGTAGTTTCCGGCCAGCCAATAGGAAGCAATTCAGAAAGAGATACTTCTCAGCCACAGCGGCAACCTCCCGACAATCAAGCCGTTGCGTGCCGAATGCTCGCCCATCAAACAAGCCTACCCAGAGTATAGCCCCTGTCCAGACAGTTTGGCACTGCTCAAGACAGTTACGCCCTGATAATAACCCTCTGTCGTTTCCTCATTCTTCGGAAAGAATCGGGAACCGAAGCAGTTAATGACGTTGTGTCCTGAACAAGACGTGTGCACGGGCGGACCCGAGGTAATTGGCACCCAAAGAACCAAACAAAACGTGCTTCTTTCCTTTTTGCTTCTATGCTACTACGACATCTGCGCTCTCTTGAAAACTACCGACCGGCTTATGAAGTGAACGAACCACGGTATCTAGTCTTTGAAGAGAACAATGAAACTAATCTACCATAACCAAGTTCCTGCGCTCCGCCTTTCCACCGGCTTTCCTTGAACACCAATACGATACTATGAGCTCGGCGGATGTCGAATTCTTTGCCGAGATGGCGTAACTGCTTTCCTACCGGTATGGAACACTCACGGGGGACGGCGAGGGCAGGGTAGAAGTTCAGTGCATTAAGAACGCTCTCGAAACTGGTGGGACAACGCACTGATCTCAAGCAGAACCCACCCATTTCCACACGTCGAGGGGTGCACATTCCTGATTATCACTGCTTCTGCGACGCGCTCTCCATCTCCTCGCTTCGGCGAATGTAGACTGGTCGTTCGTTCTGATGCGACGCATCTTGACTTGGTCGAGCTGTAGGGATGAACATGATGGCAACATCTAGACGATAAACGAAGGACGGGAGGGGTTCAGTGTTTGAGGTGTGGCTCGGTGAACCGTACAGCGAGTGGTTAGGGGTTAAGAGGTACGTGCACCTTTGTCCAGTCGTTGGCTTTACACAGCTCATATTATTCTTGCAGGATGTCCAGCGTCTATGTCAAGTTGAATCCAGTGGAATTCGATCTGGTGTCCTTACAAGTAAGTTTGCTCGTATGATACACCTTCATCGCTTTGACGACTATGTGTAGTCATTTCCTGTATAATCAAGGCACAAATCAAGGAACACGACTAGGGAGTCAATCGCCGGACGCCATTGTTCACCCACGTATATCGGCGGTTTCCATCCCTCCCGCTGGACGTGCTCTGTTAATATTCCACGGGTTGGAACGACGCTCCAAGTCGTTCAAATGTCAGACAACGCTCGTTCCCGTGGGTGTTCGTGCGGCTTGGTTTGCCCTTGTTGCACGTATGCCGACGTTGTGGTCTACAATGCGAATACGTTGGGTTTGTGTCGAAGTCTATCCGGGTGTCTCGACGTGACATACATGTCATCTCCTGTAACTCTACCATTCCGGCATTCTGAAGGCTTTATTCCAACAGTCATTGGATCTGAGAAGCTCGATCTGCGCATCTTAGCCCCGCTCGCCTCTCTCCGCTCTTCCGCTGCCCTCCCCTACATACCCTCAGTATTAGCTGACTCTACAACACACCTTTCAGTGTGCTCCCCTCCTTTCGCCGCCTCAAATGGGTGATCATCGACTCTACACAGCTTCTCAACTTGGTCGATGACGCCAGTCATCCTCTTTGAGTCAGTCACAAGCTGCTTGGTTCAGACTCAAGATAGCTTCTTCACCGCTTACTCCTCACGAAAGTACCCGGACCTTCGCGTACATATCCTTCCCTCTGGGTTATGCCGTCACATCCGGTCTCACACCCCATCGTAATCCCAGCTACAGACGTTGATATCCTGAACAATCATCGTATTCCGTGTCTGTGCATGCTCAGCTTCAGTGACTCCGTCACCTTTCATTCTCTAGCTAGACTCTCTCGTGCCCCATCCACCACTTTGATCCCGTCGTCAGTGTGCTCGATTTTCCTGATGTATCCCACTCTCAGGACTCGCGCATCACACAAAAGACGAAGTGCTTTGAGGATATGCTGAGGATGGTCGAGACGAGGAATACGTTGGAGGAATTTTGATGCCAGAAGGTGGTACTGAGAGAAGATAAAACGCAGCTTCAGAACGACAGTCTCCCTCTACCCCTCCTCAGAACCTCGCCTCCCCGCCTGGGTCAGGGTTTATAACTTGTGCACACACAACCGTCCTCCATGCTGTCCGCCTCCGCATTCAGAGGAACTTGCTCTTCGAACTCAGAGCCTAATCTTCTTCTGATCAACACGACAACCTTCCCAGTAGCGTGCCACGACCCATCATGCATCATGAGGAAGGACCTGCATGTCGCCGTTCTTAATGGCGAGACGTGATTCGGAGTTCAGGTGGTGGGGGGACTAGTGGGCATCGTTAGGGGCGGGGATGGTAACTGCTGTCGCCTCACCTAGCTTTACGTCCCCGTGTCCCTTCACCATCCCCGACATGATGACACACATCTATTATTGCTTCAGAGTATGCTGCTCATGTCGGCAACGATGCGACCGCCCACAACCAAGACTTCTTCAACGTTGCTCGAGGAATCAGGTGATGACACCGTGTTGTTCACTCAGAACAGACACGGAGAATGTGGTCCATGCCGTGTATCCCAGGCTATCGCTTGCACCCAAAACAAAATAAGAACACCAATGTCGGGGATAGCAGGTACCAGGATAGTATCCATCGGAAATCAATGCCCAGGATCCGAGCATGACCTGCCAGGCTCAACGCGAGTATGACATATCTCTCTGTCACCGAATATCGATGTCGTACAAACAGCTGCACCAACATACGAGGTCCCCGTGGGCCCCTTCTCGAACGAGAACCTGAAATGACACTCAACCTGCAGTTAGCGACAGACGATATAAGAAAACGTGCGTTACCTCCCACTGCGCGACATTGGACATGTCATTGCAGTGGATCCCTGTACCGGAGATGGGATGTGGTGGAAGTAGCTGCAGATGGTTATAAGGAGGAGGCGGAGACGGTCGGAGTTCAGCATCCCCAGCTGTGTTCGTTCCGTCTTCCCTCCTCTCGTCTCCTCCCCCTCTCTCGTCTCCTTTTCGCTCTCTTCTCCCCCCGCTGTTTGCCCTCATCGTGCTGGATGCACGAGGTTGTGCGATGTCGATGTGAACGGTAGGTTGAGCTCACGGTTTCCTTGTGCGACTAGTACTTACGCCGCCGTTCTAACAGATATCTCTCCTACAAAACTTGGACAACGCCTTGATGCCGTTCCTTTCTGTTTGGCTTCACTATGGGAGTTCTAAGACAAGCAAGGGCACAAAGTACGATGGTGCTTTCGTTCGTGATGGTACGTGTACCGTTTCTTATTTACCTTACTTAGCTGATTTTACTTAGGAATTGTATGAACAGCGCCTCAAAGGAGACGGGTGCACAATGGCTGGTACGTGTATTTTAACTAATCCTTGCTTGAACGTATGCTGACAGATTCCCTGGTCCTAGGTAGCGAGTTCGTGGTGTTTCTTAGCACCGGCCGAATATCCTGTTTGTTCGGTAAGCTATTTATCGTCGACTCAAGCCAACTAACTCTAACAAGTGGCCCTCTTTCGAAGGTAAGCCTTGTATTGCCTCTCCGTTAGTATGGGATAATGGCTTTGGGTACAATTTAGTACTTGAACCGCTCGTAAGGTGAGTAACAGTGTATTGTGTTGTTGTGACTAAGAGCAAGCTCTCAGAGTAAGCTAGTATCAGTTTCCTGTGAGCCAGACTACTAGTATGTAAGGGAGCCGGTGCCGAACTGCCACGTTAATGAGCTCAGGAAGACGAAGGTAAAAACGTGAGTGAACTCTTTAGAAAAGTCTGTGAATGTACTCGAAGGCTTCGCCGATAGAAGGGTATGATTGTATTCTTAGTTACTTTGCTAATTCGCTAACGTGCCATTTCTTAGCTTTCCAAGTGTACCGTGTACTTGAAGACGAGGTACTTAACAGAGCAAAGGTAAATAGTCTGAGTTTGGCGTGGTATGTCTTATGCCGGCCTTTAGCTTTCATTGACCTGGTAGATTGCTTGTGCAACGCCGGTGCGCTGCGTAAGGTTAGGAATCTGTTTTCGTTGACTGGAATGAATGGCTGACGAGTTGCTTGTGCTTCCAGATATGCTTGACGAAGGTCTGTTAGAGATTGAAAG